TTTGTTTTAGTTTTGATTTTGGTTGTGTCTGTAGGTAATTTTGGTTTGTATTTGATATAGTCATTTGGTATGACTTTAAAGATATAATGTTCTCTAAGCACTTTAACTATTTTTTCTATTGTTGTTGATGGGTCTTGGGGATTAAAAGGGAAAAAATGTCGAATTCTTCTGTTTAACTCATAATAGGTTGTAGGTAGGCTTGGTTTCGGGTCAGGTAGTTTGAAGTATGCTTCTGAAATTCTATTGAAATCATAGAATTCTAGTAGTTTTTGTTTGTATTCTTCAAAGTTTTGAAGTTCTTTTCTGTCTGTAATTGAAAATAAGTTTCTAATAGCAGAGTCCAAATCTTTAAAGTCATCTGGTGAAGGTTCCTTTATTTCAAAATAATCTTTTGGTAAAGTATTGAATTTGTATATCTTGTGTAAGACAATTACTGTTGATTTAGTTTCATATCTATGCGTAATTAGCAGTTTATATGGGAGAAGTTGTTGTATTTCTTCTGGTATTTCATTTAGGTAGTTTGGCAGTGCTGTTCAGGTGTTATTTAGTGCTGTTCATGTGATCTCTTTTAAGATTTGTAAGTCAAATACTGGTTCACTTCTTATGAATCCTTTTGCATATTTTAATATTTTGGCAATCGTGTTTTCTGGCATTGTATTGAAGTTGCAGTTTGTGATATAATCTATGATGATCTTTTGTCGAAGCTTGGTTTCAATAATCCTTCATGTTGGTGCATCTGTGATCATGACATTATTAATCAATTTGTATTTTTCTATAACACATTTGAGCAGTGCTTCATAGTCTTCTTGATGGGTTGGTCAGGTTGCTTTGTTTCTAGTAAAAGTGATAAAGAATGCTGTGTTCATGTATTTGAATTTTGTATTAATTGCATTGGGTACATAGAGACTTGTTGGTTTGTGTGTTAATTTGTATTCGATAAGTTCTTCTATTCCTGCTTTCGTTTGTAATAGCTCAAGTATTTTGTTGTAGTTCCAGATTTCTATATTGAAAGATTCAGTAATTTTACTTGCTAGTTTATCTTGTATTGTGTTAATCCATTGCATCTCTATATCCTCATTCTTACTTTGCCTTGTAATATTTTTGCTAGTAGCCTGACTATATGTAAGTTTATGTTTGTGTTTATTCGAATTGTTGCTCAAGATGGTTGCATGTGATTGGTTGTCCCATTGCATCTTTTTTGTATTTGTGTCTTTTCTGTTTATATTAGTTTCGTCTATCTGCATATTTGAGGTATCATATTTTTCTAAATTAAGATCTTGTGGCTCTAAGATGCCCGAGCTGTTGTTGAGTCATACAATGCTATTTATAGTATTTGTTGTGTTGTTATCGTCTGCGCTGATCTGCATTTCATTGTTTTTGTCAGCTGAGTTTGTTGTTGTGCCTTTTTGTGTAACCAATGATGTCATCTTGGAATTCTTCAGGGGTGAGCTGGGTTGCCCACTTTTTGTGCCAACAAGAGCAGTGAGAGCAGCAGTGCGTCTTCTTTTGTTATTGCTAGTAGGAAGTCTAGTTGTTTGTGCCTTCACTGTGGTTTTTCTAACTGCTGTTGTGTTATGCATGGTTGTGTTTATTAGAACTTTCTTGAGGGGGTTATATAGGGAAACTTTTCTCTGTAAGTTGAAAAAGCTTTTCTTTGTGCTGTCGTTCTGTTTTGCTATTTTTTTTTTCTTTATTTTGTATTATTTACTTAAGTTATTTCTGTTTATCTTCTTGTTGTGCACAAATGCATGTTTGTTTAAAACTTTTTTATAATTATTTAGTATAGGTGTCAGTCTCTAGCTTGTCTATTTTTTTATTTACTATATTTTTGTGATGTACAGGAGAGAGTTTTTTTTGTTTTAAGAATAAATTTTATTAGCAACAAATACAATATTCTTTAAAATTTTAACAAAATTTCAAAAATTTTAGAAATTTTCATACTGCTAAAGAAATTGTTGTTAACCTAGAAAAACAGAAGATCTCAATACATAACTACATGATATAAATAAACAACAACAAACAAACAAAACACATTCCCAATTAGGTAGTCACCAATTTAGTTAGGATCTATCAAAACAACAAATAATATTACAACAATAAGTGCACATAAATTACTAACCAAGAATTAGAATACAAACTAGTAGATCAATAGATAAGATTCAAAATCAGATCTTATTAATTATATCAAGAAACTGGGTAACAGAAATCATAGATATTTAAATAGCAAGATTTTAAATCATATTTTAACAACATCTACAAAAAGCCTGTACAATTTTAAATTTATTGCAAAGGACTTTGCATTAAGTAACTCAGATCACATCAGCATAGCTTCGCATAATCAAATATTGTAAACAATAGTATATTTTGTTTTTTGTCAACTAATAAAATTAGTTTTGTCTATATAATCTAACTAATGCCCAATATAATGATGAATTGTGATCACTTATTTTAATTCTGATCCATGCATCTCTGCCAGTTCAATATAAATTCAGGTTGACTGGATCACATTACTAGATTCTACAGATTTGCTAAAATTTTAATACTACATGAACTATAAACAATAGAGTACAAATAACATAAAGTCATATTAAAAATTCTGATTTTTTCATAACACAGATAATTTGGGTATTTTTTTACAGATGATCATTATTTTTATTTTCAATAATAAAAAAATAACATTTTATTTTTAATTATTTTCTATATCTTTTATCAAATCTATAGCAAACCAGATTTTAAGACAAAGAAAAGCACAAGCTTTTTCTAGTTCTAATCGATTTCTAGTTGGACTAATTGTAAACTTTGTGATGCTAAACATCTGTTCACTTGCTACACTTGTCACTTAAATCACTAGATAATCACATGCTATATGAGAAAGTTGAGTCCATTAAGAATCTGTAGATTTAACTTTCCAATAATCAAGAACATCAACTTCTTCAACAGGTAGAACAAGATATTCTTTAAGAATGCTATCATTATTTGTAACAACACCATATGACTTACAAAAATAACTATATGAAAATTTTGATTTGGTAGTTTCTATTACATACTTATTATTTTTTAATGATAGTTATTTTCATAAGTTATAAAAGTTATATCATGTGCTTTATATTTGTTATTTTTGAATGACATCAACTTGTTGTTTGGATCAAGAACCACAGATTCGTAAAATGTTTCTTTGAGTTCATCCCAATACTTTTCTAATTTTGTTTTCATTTTTTGTGTAATTCATTGAAGTGTACTATTTTTGTTTTGAGCTTCATTTATTGTATGTATAATAATAAGAAATATCATATGAAGATCTTCAAGAGTCAGATAACTTGATGAGAAAAGTAGATTAGTAGCATAATAAATTAGTTTAAGTAATTCAACAATCATGTCAAGTTCCTCCCAATCATCATCAGTTGGATATGTATTTCTGAGTGATGGATTTGATGTAACTAAAATATCAGTAATATCTCGAATCTTACATAATTTTTCTATCATGGTATATGTTAAATTCTAACGTATATTAACATTAGATTCAGGAACTAGATAAGAACATTGTTTCATTTTAAATATTTTTTTTAATTCTTCAAATAATACTTGTGACGAACATATAGAAGATGTAAATTCTCTAACTTTTTTGATTGATAGTCCAACTTCATCAAGACCATCTTTAACTATTGATTTAAAATATGTGCAGCACATCTAACATAATGAAATAATATATTTCCATGATTTTCAAAAAGTAACCACTCAAATTCATATTTAAATATATCCATGTTTGAAGCATTATCTGTAGTTACAGATATAATATTTTCCTCAAGATCAAAATAATTAATAGTATTATAAACAGTATTTGCTATTGTTTTGCCTGTGTGTCTTTCATGAAGAGGTACCAAATCTAATAATATATGATACATTTTCCATTTATTATCAATCCAATGAAAAGTTATTAACATATATGCTTGATGTGTATATGTCATCTATATATCAGTAATGAGAGCTACTTTACTATCATGATTTTTAAAATAATTTTTAAGATTTTCATATTGTTTTTCATAAAGCTCTTGTATCTTTATAGAAATAGTTTGTCGACTTGGAAGCTTATACCAAGGATTTAATATCGCAACTAGGTCATTAAATTTTTTATTTTCTATAACAAAAAATGGCTGTTGATTATATATGATCCATCGTAAAAGCATAGCAACAATTTTATTTGTATTCATTATTATTTCTGCTGATTTAATAGAAGCAGTAATTTGTTCAATTTGTTCCTATTTATTTTTATGATGTTTCATAAAATGTCCTTTAATTGTACTAACACCTGAACCAATGCTATATAGTTGTTTGCATATATCACAAATAATAGTATCATTTGTATTCTACGAAAAATAATTTCATATTGGATAATGTAATTTATTCTTTTTTATAGGTCTTGATGATAATTCATTATCAGTATTTGTTTCATCATCTTTTATAATTATTAAATTTTCGGTATTCATTTTTAATATTGTATTGTTATTTATTATTAATCAAGAGAATTAAATTTTATATTTTTATTATATTATTATTGCATATTTATCATAATTTATATAAATTTAAGGCTTCTATTATATAATTATTATAATATTTTTTTTCAAAACTATAATTCCAAATAGTTATTTTATCGATTCAAAAAAAGAATTACAAATTAATATTTTATTTATTTTACAATGGCTAAAGATCATTAAGTAATATCGTGACTGAAGATCAGTAATGATAATACTATAATACATATGTATATATTGATATTATATTAACTATATATAGAAATTTCATTTTTGATTCATCATTAATTACTTTGATTTGATAATCATGATTTTACATGAAAAACCAGGTCATTTAACTAGTTTGGTCACAAATGATAATAGTCTGGTTTCAGATCCAGTTAAACTAGTTTTAATCAAACTATTTAATATCCCTAACTAGTTCATAAAAGAACTCTAACTTTTTTACTAAATCGCTTAGAGTTTCTTCTTTTTCTAGTTTGACTTCTTAGATGCACAGGTTAAAGTAAGAAAGGATCATAGCTCAATATTTAATATTGTACATCTAGTTCTTTTTATTCTTTATGAGCACTTCCCTTTTGTTTCCTCTATTATGACAGAACTTTTCATTATCTTATTATTTTTTATTTTATAGAAAAATATTAATGATCTTTTTATATTTTTTATTTTAGTAAAAAAATGTTCTTAGAAAAATATGGCTTTAACATGATCCAATCTTCTGCTTCTTCATCTATTTCTACTTTTACTGCCTCTTGTCAAGTCCTATTAATCCATCTTAGTTCTTTACAAGATACAAAGTAGTGGTTCAAATTTTCTTAGTTCAGTTGAAAAAGAAAACTAAAAAATATACAAATGGTTCTGGTTGTTCAAACTGTGTTTATCTTAAGAATAAACTCAATGATGTATATGCAGAGTTAAAAAAAATAAAATCTGAGAAAATGCTTCTTCAAGAAATAAATAATCTTGAAAAACGTATATATGACTTAGAGTGAAAAAATCTTCGATTAAGATTTATGAATAATAAAGAAAAAGAAAAAGAAACAAGTAATAATAATACTAATAATAGTAATAATAATAATAATAATAATAATAATAATAATAGTGAAGAAGAAGAAGAAAACTAAATAATAATTTTTTTTCTTTTATTATATATATATGTATATATATATTGTATAGAATTAATAAATTTTGGGTGTGGGTCCCATAGCTTAGTGGTTAAGCTCCCATGCCCCCACAGTCAAGGTTAATGGTTTAAGTCTGACTAGAGGCAAAATTAAAAAGATTTTAGCCTCTGTAACCCAATAAGGAGCCAGTAATTGAATGTGAAGCCCTGTGGTTAAG